CAAATGTGCTAGAACTGGACCAAACTATTGCAACGACAAAACAGACAAATTATCAGCAGGTTTTAGAACTCCATTTGCTTGTACTGTTGATCCAAACAATGGAGATGTCTACCTTGTTGACTATTTCAATCACATGGTAAGAAGAATTGATGTAACTACAAACATCTCTTCAATTTTTGTTGGTACAGGATCAACCACTGGTTCTAACACCAATTACAATGGATTGGATGCATTGCATTCTACAGTCGCTCTCAATTCACCAATTTCTGTGCTCGTTGACTCTACTTTTGTCTATATTACTGATTCCATGAACCATTGCATCAGAAAGATAAACAAGATTTCCAATCTTGTTTATACTCATGCAGGTTCTTGTGGGACATCTGGTTCCACCAATGGAAATACACCAACAGCTGCCAGATTTAACAATCCATATGGTATGGCTTTAGCTGCCGATGGTACCATGTTTGTTGCTGATAAAGCAAACCATATCATTAGAAGAATTAATCCTGATGGAAGTGTTGAGCTATACGCTGGTACAGTCGGTACCCAATGTCCTTCTGCAACAGCTTCTCCTGCTTGTGGAGATGGTAGCGATCGTTTAAGTGTAACATTCACCAATCCAAACGCTGTTATTGTTGATTCCAATAACAATGTATACGTTTTTGATTATGGAAACTTTAGAATTAGAAAGATTGATAACTCAACCGGCTTGGTCTCTACGTTGGTTGGTACAGGTGCGTCAACAGGTGGTGTTACTGGTGGCCCAGGTGGTCATGGTCAAGTTGGTACATCTGTGATTATTTCAGCATCGTCTAATACATTTCAACCTTTGGAAATTGTTGGAAATAGACTCCTCTTCCATGATAAGACAATTAGTCGTGTTCGTCAATTTGATTTGAATACTCGCATTGTAACCTCAATAGTTGGCTCAGGTGTTGGATTTGCAACTGGTGTTGGATTACCATTAATTAACTCTAGATTTTCCTCATCACCAGTCATGCAATTTGATTCAATTGGAACTCCTTATATTTTTACTGGAAGCAATCCATCTTTGTTACTCACTGTTACACCAAGTGGTATTGTAAAAAGATTGGCAGGTGGTAATGGTGTCGGCACACCTGTCTATTCTGATGTACCTGGTGATCAAATCG